AGAAGTTTTGGCTTCTGGACTGCACAGCCGAAGCAGGGAGATCTCTCAAGTTACCTCGAGACCAACAAGCCGGAGATGAAATGGTGATGGAACGATGGGGAGAATAGCGCAGCATCCCCTCTCACCCCTGCTGCAAACTTGCTCCACTGACCAGAGGTGCTGGAGAGGAGCCTGAGGTCTTGTGTTTATTGATAGAGCCCATCTAGGCTGCCGACTCCTCAGCTGTCAGCACTGATACTCTCACTCTCTGTGATGAGCTAGCTGAGAATAAGTCTGAGCTCATTCCAACCTACTTTTCTCCTGGTTTCTTCATAAAATATATAAATGTATTCTTTGTGTATATGGTAGGCACAATCACTTCCATATCTGATTAATTTTGTTGGGCATTTTCTCAAGTAAGTATCTTACTTGAGAAAAAGGTTATCAGTGTCTAGAGAAGTTTTTTAAAGCAAATAATCATTCACTGCACAAGCTGCACTCCTCCAGTTCCCCTCCTCCCTTTTGGCCCATTTCTCTCTTCATTAACTACATTCCAGCAACAACCTACGTCTGAAAACTGACTATATTTCTTTAGGGAGCCACCTAAATGCCCCCACACTGAAAATTCCTCTGGTTCTAGAAATCATGTATGACTACAATAAAAATCTATTTGTGAAAAGCTATGAGTGATTTTATTTGGTTTTTTTGAGGTGAATAATTACTTTTTGTTGGGGTTTTCCCCCCTTTTATTGTTTTGTTTGAGGTGAATAATTAGTTTATTCCAGAGGTGGAGCCAGAGCTGGCATTAGACCAAACACAGAGAAGCATTGCCTCCACTGGAAGGATATTTAAAATATGTCAAGACAAACAAAATCTGCTGTTGATTTCATATCTCTCAAAAGTAGTAGAAAGTGATGGTATTGTTATGCTAGGAAACTAAAATCGACTCAGTGGTGGTGGGCTTAAAATCATCACAAGCCCTAGTGTGCAGTGATTAAAGAACTTGGCTGTTAATCATAAGGTCAGAGATTCAAACCCACTAGACATTCAGCAGAACGGTGACGAGGCAGTCTGCATGGTTCAGCATTCAGCCGCTAACCAAAAGGTTAGCAGTTCGAATACACAAGCTGTTCTGAAGAATGATGTGGTGCTATTATGGTCTAGTCAGTTCTGATTCATAGTGACCCTCCATCGGGTTTCTGGGATGGTAAATCTTTAGGGGAGAAGATTGCTCATCTTCTCCCCAGGATCATCTTTGCATTCAATCCAATGACTTTTGGGTTAATAGTGCAGCTGTAACACACTACACCAGAGTTCCTTTTTTTTTTTTTTTTTCAGAGTTCCTTCCAAAGAAATGTCAGCTTTGGAAAAGCAATGGGGCAGCTCTCCTTAGTCAGAATTGACTCCATGGTATCAGGTTCTTAACTCATCACAACTAAACACAACACAAGCCCTCACTAGTCCTCTGTAAATAGATAACGTTTTTCTTTTACACTGATAAATATTCTCAAGAGTCAGAAAGCCTCGGGCTAAATCTCTGTCATAGCTGGTAACTTTGAGCCTCTTTGTGACTTAGCTTCCTCATCTACAAAATGGGAACAAAAGTGCTTTCTCACATAATTGTAAGGATTAAATGAAGGGGGGGGGAAAGATGATAGAGGTAAAGCCCTTAGATCATTGGCAGAGAGTAAGCACTCAATAAATCTGGCTAATAATAACAACTTCATTCTTTCTCCAAGTTAAGGCTATATAATCATTATGCCACAAAGACAGTGTCCGAGGCACTGAGGTCTTAAAAGCTTGCAAGCTGCTATCCTTTAAAGTACAATTGCTCAATGTTTTTGAATTTTGCAAATAAGCTAACAGAAAAAGGAAAAAATGAATACATGATTAGGCATTATATGTATTACAACCACCCAGAATAAGAGGTACGTCATTGCAAAGAAGTCTGGGGGGGTGGGGGAGGTAATTATACAACAATGAATATTTTTTTAAAAAAGTTTATTGTGGGGGGATGGGAGAGGAGTTAAAATATGTAACAATAAATGAATAAAATCTAACTTTTCTGTAAAAGTGTATCAAAATCACAGTTAAAATAATATTTTATTTAAAAAAAGAAAAAACCAAAACAAAGTACAATTGCTGGTCCCCCCTGCACCAAAGCGAAAAGACACAGAGAAACCGTCAAAAGGACGAATCAGCCAAGTGAAACTCAGCCTCCATGATCTGAGACCAGAAGAACATGCCGCCCGGCTACCACACTTTATGCTGGCGGGGGGTGGGGGTGGTGAAAATTCAAAAATCATAAAACTAGATAGAGGGGCAAGCCTACCCCCCTCACCTCCTCCAGCTGGTTCCCACCAGTCGCCTGGCCAGGCAGATCTCACAAGGAAACTTCGTTGATGACTAGTGATGACAAAGTGACCCAATCTCTCCCTACCCCATCAAGGGCCTGGGGTGGTTGGAGACAGAGGGACATGCCTGATCCAGCTTTATCTCCATATGTCCCCCAAGCAGGCCTGGATCTTGCCCTCTCCAAGGCTAAACTTGAATGCCCAGGAGTCACACATGAGCTGCCCCAGCCTTCTATTTTTAGAAAGAGGAAACAGCCTGGATTCAAATGCAGTTATAACACTATGGTTTTATGGACATTCACACAATGGAATACTATGCAGCATGCAGGAGCAATGATTTTGTAAATTATTACCTAACTTGGGAGGGACTGGAGGGCATTATGCTGGGTGAACTAACTCAGTCCCACAGGACAAATATTGTATAAAACCATTATTGAAAATTGAGTATAAGGACCCAAAAGGGGTAGAGGAGGGTGGAAGCAGAGGGGTAAGGATGTGCAGGGAGAAGGGGGATAATCATGGGGTTGCTCAGTATGATGGGGTGGGGTTTGTAAATAAACTATTATTTTTAAAAAACTGAAGGGGAAAAAATAAAAATCTAGTTACCAACCAAAAGGTCAGCTGTGTGACCCCACCAGCTGTTCCTCTGAAGAAAGATGTGGCTCTCCTTCCTCTGAGATTTATGGCCTCGGAGACACTATGGGGTGGGTCTACTCTATCCTACAGGGTTACAGTGAATGGGAATTGACTTGATGGTAGCGGGCTTCAGTTTTGCGGTTGAGCCAATTATTCAGCAAATTTAAATAAACACCAACAGGGAATTCTAGAATAAACAAGCAAAATCATAATAATAAAGAATAAACACACACAAAGAAAAAATAGCTAGGTTTATTGGTCCAAGAGAGACTAGTGAGGCCCCCAGAACCCACTTTGTGGCTCAACGTCTGGCCATACAATGAACAGGCCTAGAAAATGCCAGTATCTGAGGGAGGCTCACTCCTTAGAATAACCAACCATACAAGGTGCAAAGAACAGCATTTTGCCTGAGAAGAGAGCCCAGAGTACAGGAAGGAGTGGGACAGAAGGATTAATGGCAATGAAAACTACAGGGTAGAAGTGGGAAGGGTGATGACCTGTTATGTTGTTTGTTGTTGTTATTTGTTGTTGTGATGTACCTTTGAGTCAGAACCTAACCTGAGCTGCCTACAGTAAATCACACAGGAGGAGACTATCCATCTTTTCACCTTGGAGAAGCTGGTGGATTCAAATGGATTACCTTTGAGTTGGCAGCACCACTCCTTACCACTAAGCCAACAGGTTTTTTTGCTTTTTTGTTTGTTTGTTTGTTTATTATTATTAAATTTTATTAGTTTCAATGAACACTCACAGGGATTCTGGGCTTTCACTCCTTCATTGCCGCACCATTCTCTCCACCCTCCTCCCCAGTTTGTTCTTCTTCCCCGCCATCCGAATGTCTGTTTTAATTGTCAAATTGCCACAGTGCTTGTCAAAGTCAGTTCTGATTAATCTCCTTTGTCGGTGTGTC